TAATAGAGTCCACTGTCTCCCCACATCAGCTTCCCAATCTGCAAATCTGCATCTGAAAGACAAAAAATGTGGAAGACAGGGCCACCACTCAATTCCACTCCAAGAAGCAAAGAGCTGAAAGCGCTGGATCCAGCTTCAGCTCCAGCTTCAAATCCTGACCTCTACTCCCAGCCAGCTGTCACCAGTGGGAAAAGAGTTTTGTTCCGTGGGTAGTTTGTTTATTAAATCCTCAGTTAGTGCTGTGTTGAAAGGACAGGCCTCCTGTGGATAAAGGGACCAATCCTTTTCTCCACTAACTCTGTCAGGTGGATTGAAGCTAGAAAAAAAATAACAAACTCATCACCCTTAAAACTGATCTCAGTAATCTATGGAGCCAAATGGAGAACTAGAGAGCAACTTGAGAAAGGGCCCACACAGCGAGCACTAGGGCAAACCTTCTATTTCCACTCCCTTTGCCTCCCAAAGTGTCAAGGGCCCTGTTTCCAGATAGCATTCACACCAGCCAAGAAGACCTTTGCCACAACTTTCTCTGGAGCACATCAACCTTACACATCAAAGACTGTCAGGTAAAACTACCCATTCCCTCCAAAGGCTGAGTACGCCACCTCCACACTGGGCATGTCTACACAAGGCACTACTGCAGTGTGGTTACTGCACGCTTATTTAGTACTTGATTATACACAAGTACTAAATAAATGTGCAGTAACGAGTTACAGCACAATAGCGCCGGCAAACATCTTTTAAAGTGACGCCACTGCACAATAGCCTAATAATACTGCACAGTGTCTCGTGTAGACTGAAGGTCAAGGGCCTGGCTTCCCCATCCACTGAGGGTCAAGGGCCTGGTTTTCCCTACTTGCTGGATGACCTGTTATGTCATAAGGGATGACATATTTAGGATTTCTGGTCTCACAAGACTTCATCTAACAAAAGGATGAGGGAAAGCTCCCATCTCCCCAAGCAGATTCCACCCAAGTGAAATCTCTTCCTTTCTTCCCTGCAGAAGGAGTGGCTTTGCGTGTATATGGACTTGGCTAGTAAAGCCCAGAACTGAATGAACTTGAAATACTGCATTACTACACTCCAGCATTTTTGAAGGACAGGAAAGGAGACTGCTTGGAGAGTTCATGACGGGGAATGGCCCAAGCTGTGGAAGCTAAATTCTCAACCCTCACAGGAAAGTTTGATACTTCCATATCAGGGTTTGGGCCCACTGATGTCAGCAGCATAGAGAAGCTCAGGAGCAAACAAGCAGAGAAGCTGAACACTCCTCTTCACCTAGGAACAAGTAGCTCTTACAGGTCAGGGTTTGGGCCCATCTCTGAGGAAACCTCAGTGAAAAAGGGAGAAAGACTTAACTCCTCCCTCCAGCAGAGTCAGCTGTTTGAGTCCAGAGGTGTTTGATACAAGAGCTGACATTTAGCACCCTGTCCCAGGAGAAACCATTAACTAAACAATTCCCGTCAGCTTCTAGCATTCGTAATTGCCAAGTAACAATTCCAAACAATACCAGAATGGCTAGAGGAGCAGAGTTACCGTGGACTATGGTGACATCTCTTCCTTTATAGAAGTCCCCTATAGTGACCGCAGACCCTTGCTTGGAGGCCACGACACGGACCGTCCTCCTGCTGTCCACGCAGTCCAGATAGGGATCCCACTCCAGGTTCCTCTTGCTTACAGCCTGTAAACCCGAGGTGGCCATACCCAGGGCTTCCCCCATACGATCCTGGCAGTAGGATTTAAACCTCCATTGGACCACAGCTGGCTGGCTGGAGGATGTAGAGAAGTGGCAGCGAAGCAGGGCAGGCTGAAACAGCATGGCGACCTTCTTCTTATCAGGCATCCTGACTTCCAATCCCTCAGTTGCAGCTACAAAACAGAAACACAAGAGTCACCCCTCTGTACAGCACAGACAGCATGTTTTAGGGTGGTGTCATTCTCACACAGTCACATAGATTTAAAGTGATCACCAGATTTCACATGCTCATGGTATCCCCAAAGGAATGTCAGCATGGGGGTTGGGAGGAGGGAGAGAGAGATTGATCTTTCTGTGGAAGCAGGTCACTCAGAGTGAAGCTAGAGAGTCAAATGTGACATTTTTACACTCATGTTTGTACAGAACCTAGCACAACAAGGTCCCAGTACATAACTAGGGTTTCCAGGCAATGCACTAATACAAATAATCAATAATAAGGACAGAGCTTGGTCAACTGTAGTGCTTGTTCACAGAGGAATTCACAAGGTATTTCTAACCATGAATATAGGAACAGTCAAGTGCAAATGAATATTATGATTGTGGTAAGGACATTAAAAAAGGAAAACAAAAAGGTGGATAAGGGAAGGTGATACTTGCAAGGAAGGAGCACTTTGTGGACAGGACAGCTTCCACTGAGAGCCAGATTCTGGTCTCACACCAGTACAGAGCCACTGGCTTCAATGGAGTTACTCCACTTAAGCAGTAGCATAACTCATGGCAGAATCAGGCTTTCACATGTGCAAGTGTTTTTCAGCTGTTTTGAGCCAAGCCTCAATACAGGCAGATCCAGATCACATCACTCCTGCCCCAGCTGGAATGTAGTCTGGTGTGGGAAGGGCAGAGAGACGTGGCTAAAACTCTCAGACTTTTACATTGCACAGAAACCGATGTCTTTCAGAAGTTTCTGTGTCCATTATCTGCCAGCTGACAGAAGAGTTGTGTCCTCTCTTGGCCTCAAACATCAGGGCCAGACACACGGGAGTGAATTGTACGTGGGACTGCTACTGACACTTTCTGATTCTGTAGGTTAAGGTGAATCTGGTTAAAGGTGCCAACCGACAAGGAATGAGGGACGTGTTCTAGTTATCCACAGCATGGGGAGCAGCAGAGGCAGTCCAAACTTCCCACACGTGCCTCATTCCTACAATGCAGGGACCACCTCTAGGAGTTACCTTGTTTCAAAAGGCATTTGCACAGTGCCATTAATAAATGCAGTTCTTTCCAAGGACAGGTAAGGTAAATCCCCTGCTCTGGATGGCTTACACAGTAAAGGAGAACACACCCAGAAAAACATTTCAGGAGGAGTGCCAAGGGGATTGATAGTGATGAGGGAGAGTGGGCAGGGATTGCTTGAAGAGATGGGTTGTAGAGAAAGATCATAAAAGACAGCTTAGAAGGTATGAGGAGTGTTCAAGTCATAGTGCTTGGATCAGGAAACAGATAAGGCCAAGAGCGAGTAAGTGTAGGTACAGGGAAGAAAAACAATGAAGACAAGCACAGGGAGCAGAAGGTTGAGCACAAAGAAATGAGGCTAAGAAGGCAGGAAAAAGGAGATCTTTATCATCCTCAGTTAAAGCAATTTCAGAGACTGGAGAGGGTTGGGAGTTAGCTCCTGGGGGATCAAGGAGACACGTGGAGGAAAGGAAGGGTATGTCTATATAACACAAAGCAGCACCACACAGAGACACCCAAGCTAGCTCACTCAGCTTGGGCATCAGAAACAGTTAGCTGCAGCAGCATAACTAGGGTGAGGCAACTAGGGGCAGCAGCTAGTGCCACAGCCATACAATCACGCTGGCAGCAACCAGAAGTCACCACCACCTCAGTTCATCACACCTGCCTGGGCAGCTGGCTGCCTTGCTATGCCTCTGGTTAACTACATTCCCATCAGGACTAATTAGCCTGGGAAAAGCACTGCACTTAATACACCTATATTGCTTCCAGTACCTGGACTTGAGCATTCAGTGTTAGCCTGTGCCGTATAGATACTTCAGAACAGTGATTTTCAACCAGTGGTCCATGGACCCCTGAAGGTCCACAGACTATGTCTAAGGGGTCCACAAAAGATTACTATAATCAATCAAAAGTATCTGAATACCCACGCTTATAATTCAAATGGGTCTGCACCTCCATTTGAAATTGCCAAGGGGGTCCATACCTCTGTTCTAAATTTATTAGGGAGTCCTCAAATGAAAAAAGGTTGAAAACCAGTGCTGTAGAAATGAAGTCATCAAAAGTAAACCACACACACTGAGACCTGGACAATAAAAGGCTACAGCAGTAAATAAAGGAAGAAACCTTCTTTCATTGCAGTGTCCTTAAGTTGGGTAAAGCAAGCTGGTATTTGATACGAGAGGGCAACAAAGCAGAAGAGATGGTCAGGAATAAGACTGGGAGTGAAGGGATAGGTTTAGAAGCAAACATCAGAAATCTCAACATTAGGAGCAGCAGTAGAGCAGTGGCAACCCAGAGTCGTTTCTATTCTCAGGGTACAGAAAAAAAGCTTGAGAACATAAAATTAAGCACCCTCTACAGGGTCAGGTACAGACATGAGAACAACCAATATATATAATTTTTTAAAGTTTCAAGCTTTTATTCTGAAGATGTTATCGAGATCCAGCATGCAAAATTTATTTAGTTTATTGATCTCTGCAGACTGACACCAATGAAGCCAATTAATGCCATTTTTTGAGAAATATAGGCACAGTACAGTAGGCTGTTCAGTCCTATTTCACATTCCACAGAAGCAGATGCCTTTCAGAAGTCCCACCACCACACATACGACATGCTGAACAGTTGTATGGTGTTGGTGTATGGTGAGCAGCTGAGGCTGAAGATCATGCCTTTATATATTACCTCATTTCTGAGTAGGGGAAGAACCCAAACCCATGATCAAGGACTTCCACAGCCCATTGGCAATGCCTGGCACCACCCCACTGCTCTGTAAAGGAACTGCGTGCTAGCTACACCCAATACCAAAGCGTGAAATTAGCTGATCTGGTGACTTAATGTTGCTTTACCAAAACAGATAAAACAATGACTCTGCAGACATGGCAAACAGTTAAATCTTTCCCTTATGGTGAACTTAAGTACTATGCTTCGTAAACAAAGCTGCTTTCAGCTAACTTCTTTTCCCTGCACAGCCCCATCTCCTGTTAAATGAGATTAATGAGTCGGACAGGCCAGGGACCGCTTTAATAAATGATTAGCAAAGCTTCAGCAAATTTTTATCTGACTAACCACTCACCCTCCCATCTCAGTGCCCACTCAGAAAAAGCAAACTTGTGAGAAGCTTGTGAGAAAATACGGGAGTTCTGTTTCCACCGGAAAGTGTATGGGAGGCGTATGGTAAGCAATCTGGCATCTTCCACACAACATCCAATTGCTTTTCTGACATACGCCTTTACACTCAGTATCTAAAGACTACACACAGAAAGCACAGTGTAGTCTCTGCATTGGAAAGGTCTACTGAAGCCTAAATATCTTTACACACACACACACACACAAAGTTGAGAAATTAATTAAACGCCTGTTATTGCTGCTGCCAAAAAATTAGACTCTATTGACTCGCTATATTACAGCAGTATCCATCAGAAAGCCCAACAAGATGCTAGAGATTAAAACAAGCTGGTCCAAACCGTATAAGGATCAGTGTAGCCGCATTTCAATTACCACTGCCCATTTAGCTTTCCTTAACTCCAAAAGCACACTGCTGAACTTGGAATGATTCATAAAGCAATAGCTGGGCAAAACACCCTCATGTGACTAATAATACAGAGTTCAGAAACCTAGGCTGCTTGGAGTAAAAAGCAGTATGTGAAAGAGATATTAAAAAAGTGATTAAAGCTTAGTCATGACAGACCTGTTGAGCTCCCATCTAACTTAGTACAACTAGTACTAACGGTTGACTACAGTGAATAAACAGAAAGAATAAACTTGATTCTTCACCCAGACAAATTCTCAAAAATATAAATGTCCCATTCTCTTCTTATTTTTCTACTGCAGCCAATTCTTGTGATTTTACTGAGTCTCACAGTCATGAACTTTTATTAAAATGCCCAGCTCCTAGCCAGGGATGGGGAGAATACTGCCCGCGGCATCCAGCTGGCCAAGGGATTCTATTTGGCCCGTGGCGGGTCCCTCTTCTCTGCCCAGCCCAGGCACAGGGGGCAGCCCAGGCCATGTTACGTGCAGCTAGTCCCACTACTCCCAGGCATGCAGCAGGGTGAGGACAGTGCAGCGGCCAGACTCAGGTTCCCGGCAGTGGCTCCTTCTGGCTGCCACTGCCTGCTGCTGCTGCCACCAGTACTGGCCCTGCTGCCTGGGTAGCCTGGCCCATCTCTGTTTCATCCACTGCCGAGTGGGCGGGTGACTGGGATCTTCATCGAGACTGGCCTGGGACCCCCACAGGCAGGCCATGCTCAGCTGGATGGATGGGAAGAGGCCATGTGGAGACTGGAAGCAACTTCTGGGAGTCGGGCAGGCTGGCTGGGACGGTGACAGTGCGGGGCCAGGACCTGGGACAGATTGTGATCTGCTCTCCACATGTCCCTGCCTGCAGAACCAGCACCTGTTAAAGGAACAAGTATGGAGCAGATCACAGTTCTGCCCTGGGCCTGGGCCCTGGCCCCACACTGTCACTGCCCTGCAATCCTGGCCACAGACTTTACCCTGCCTGCCCATCTCACTCCCAGATGTCCCTCCCCATCTGCCACAGTCCCATCCTATCCACCCAGCTGAACACACTGTGCCCATGGGGGTCATGGGCCGGTCTCTATGGAGACCCCATCTGCCCTCTCCATCTGGTGCCCCTGGCAGTGGGTGCAGGGCAGACGGGCCCAGGGGCTGGATAGGATCAATTGCCCCCCACCCTTCTGCACCAGGTTGTCAGCACCCCACACCCCACCTCCAGCCTGCAACAACTTACCAAAACTCCTTAAGTGGCCCTTCAGCCCAAATAATTGCCCACCCCGTCCAAGAGCGACGATTTAAATACATAGGGGGTAAGAAGAAGGTCCCGGGTAATGTGGGGCCCTTGCAGGACGCGTTGGGAAATTTGGTCATCACACCAGACGACAAAGCTAACACGTTTAATGATTTCTTTGCCTCCGTC